AGGTGGCCGGGAGCGGCCACTGCACTCCACTCTGGGCAACTCAAAAAAAAAAAAGAATGGGACACCTTGGGCAAAGATCTGAAGGATGTGAGAGAGTACACCCTGGGATACATGAGGGAAGGACATTCCAGGCAGAGGGAACCACAAATGCAAAGATCTTCGTCTCTTCCCAGGAGAGGGGAGGGTTTTAACCAGAAGACCCCAGTCTGACTCTGGTATTCACAGGCCTCCTCTGGCTGACAGATGGGGAGGCCAGGAGAGTAGAGAGGCCAGGGAGGAAGCTGCTGGGATAGTCTAGGTGGGGTGAGTGCGGCTGGAGCAGGGTGAGGGCAGTGGGCAGATACTGTAGAATCTGTCTTGTTCACTGCCGTGACCCTAGTGTCCAGAATAGTGCCTGGCACATAGCAGGAGCTCAGTGAACGTGTGTCGAGTGAGGACAGGTTGAGAAGCCCAGGAATGCTCTCTCCTCTGACTTTGCCCCCTCCTTCTTTCCCACTCTAGAGAGGAGTTGGAACGTGGTCTGGAAAGCCCGTCTGAATAATGCTCCAAGGGTGTGTGTGCAGGCTGCCATTGGATTGCTGGTCACCCTGGCTCCTGCCTCACCTCTCTCCCCTGTGCTCCCCCCCACAGCAACCCCAGCACCAGCCCCGGCCGCCACCCCTGCTCCAGCCCCGACCTCCTCCCGGGCGCCCCTTCGGCCAGAGGATGACATTCTGTATCAGTGGAGGCAGCGGCGGAAGCTTGAACAGGCTCAAGGAGGCGAGGGTGACAGACCCTGGGTGCTGCACCAGACCCCTGCCCTCACTACTCCTGTGAGTCAGAGGAAGGAGGAACCTGAGGGGAGACAGAGGACCCTCCTTCTCACTCTCAGATCTCTCTATCTGTCTGCAGACCTCTTCTGCCCCTGTGGAGCTCCGCTGTTCTCTGGGAACCCAGCCTAACTATGTCTCACTGCGGGGCAGTGTGGCTCAGCCTGGTACCCTGGAGGCCTTCTGTGTGGAGCGGCCTCCTTTCCTGCCAGAGTCCTCTCCACACATCTTCTGGGCCCCCAACCCCCATGGGTTCTTCTGGGCCCCACCATCTGGTCCTTGGGGTATCTCTTGGGGCTCTTCCTCCCACACAGCTAGCCTCCACCCTGGCGCCCCCAGCTCCCCTGGCCTCCACCCCAGCTTCCCTAGCCTCCACCCTGCGCATCCAGCTCCCAGCTCCCTTGGCATCCACCCTGGTGGCCCCTGTAATCCCCCAGGGCCTGCCCACCCCTGAGCCAAGTAGCTCCACCCAGCCCAAGAGTCCAGGCCCCAAGTCTCGGAAGGGCAAAGCCCTGTGCCGAGAGGCTGCTGAAAGAATCGCCACAGCTGGGGAAGGGCCTGGCCCTCAGCTCAGGGGCGCCCTGGGCCAGGTAGTAACAGCTCGGCTCTTCCCAGACAGCCTAGAAGACACGCCCCCTCCCCTCAAGGGCCCACCTTCACCCGAGGCAGACGCTCCAAAAGTCAAGGCCACACCCCCCAAAACCAAGGTTATGGCTTCTTGCTCAGAGATCACACCCCCTCCATCTGAATCACAGCGTGGGTCCAGGGCTGAGTCTCAGAAAGTCAAGGCCATGCCACCCCCAACGGGATCAGTGCTTTGGAAGGGCAAAGCCACGCCTTCCCCTGAAGCCGGGTATCCGGGCAAGGCCCCTCCCGCTAAAGCTTTGGAGGCATCCTTGGTCAAGACCCAGCCACCTGCCTTCAAGGTGGGGTCCCTTGAGATCGTGGCCACGCCCCCGCCTGCTGCTGACCACGCCTACTCAGAAGACGTGCTTTTGCAGGCCGCCAGACTTCTGGAGGCTGCTGAAGGTGAGCTAGATGTTCACGCCGGTCTTGCCGAGGTCTTGTCTCCGGTGGTCCAGCCCCCTTAGAGTTCATTCTTTGGAGCTCATTCTTTCCCCCTCAGACTCCGACGGCAGCGAGTTCCAGGATGACCCCGTGCTGCAGGTGCTAAGAACCCAGAGGGCAGAGCTGCGTTGGCAGAAAAGGTGACCTCCATTACCAGGATCTGTGACACTGGGTTCCTCAATCCTCTGGGTTCCCCGTTAGGTGCATACTTCTCCTGGGCCCCCTCCCAAACCCCATCCACAGCCCTAGATCCTTATCCTGAGCACAAATCCAGCCTCTACTCTCCCGGCTTTTCTCCAGGAAGGTGGATGCCCAGCTCTCCTTCCTGTTGGACCACACCATGGACCCAGGATCTTGGTCACCTCTGGCCACATCGCCCCCCAGATCCCCAAGGAGGCTGCTGTGAAGGGAAGGAGCCTCCCTGGAGGCCAGATGACTTTGAATTGTATAAGTTCTATTTTACCCAATGAAACATTTCTTTCAGGTTACTGGTTATCTCTGAGAGGGGGATTGTTCTGGAAAGACCAAGAGTCATGTCAGTTCAAGGAAATACCTGCCCACCCGTGGCTCTGCCCAGCTTCCCCCCTTCCTAACCTTTGAGACAAAATATCTTTTCTGGTGTCATTTTCCTTGGGACAGAGGAGGTTCCAGGTGAGATTTCAGGCAAAACTGGGACCCATCTTATCTGATTCTGACTCAGCTCAGAAGTCCTGTCTCAGATGGGACCAAAGAGACAGTCCTCTGGGCATGTGCTAGGGTCATCAGAGTGTTGAACAGCAGTCAGTCCTTCATTCCCATCCTGCTTGTGCCCACAGCTGCATTTGGGGTGCAGCTGATCCCTCTCACTTCGAAGTACTTTCTTCCCCTGCTTCTAGAACTATCCTTGCCTCTCTAGTCATGCCTTCTCATTGCCTCGGCATGTCAACTTTAGCATGTCCCAGGGCCCTGGCTTTGACTTCTCTATCTACACTCACTCCCAGGTGCTCTTGTCTAGCTTATTGACTCTAAACCTCATCTCTATTTTGAAAATCCCTCAATTTTTATCTCTAGCCTAGGCCTGGCCATTGAAGCCTGGGCTCCTATGTCATTACCACCTCCACCCAAAGGTCTAAGAGATCTCTGGTGCCATAGATACTAATCTGAACTTTCCATCTTTCCCCCTAAATTTGTTCCTCCTCCACTGTCCTCATCTCTGTCCTTTGCTGCTCAGGCTAAAAGCCTTATAGCCTTGTGTTTTACTCCCACCCACAGTCAGTCGGCCAGCAAACGCTTCCATCTCTACCTTTAAAATCTGTCCAGAATTCAACTGCTTCTCCTTCTTCCACTGCCCTCAACTTCAGCCTAGGCTATCATTACCTTCTACCTGGACTATTAAAACAACATATTGTTTTTATAAACATGTCTGCATATTCTTTGATACCTTGCCATCAGGAGATAGAGTCTATGTCCCTTCCTCTTGAATGGAGGAAAACGAATGCAGAGGAAGCGATGCAACTTAATTTCTAAACTTCAGTTAGGATGTTACGGTCTCCCTGGTCTCCTTTCTCTCCCTCTTTCTGTGTCTCTGATACTTGCTTTAGAGGCCATATTTTATTTTATTTTATTTTTTTGAGTTGGAGTTTCACTCTTTCGCCCAGACTGGAGTGCAGTGGCACACTGCCACCCCAGCATCGACCTGCTGGGCTCCGGCGATCCTTCTGCCTCAGCCTTCCATGTAACCAGAACTACTGGCATGTGCTACCATGCCTGGCTAAAGTTTTTATTTATTGTAGAGATGAGATCTCGACAAGTTGCCCAGGCCGGTCTCAAATCCACAGGCTCAGGCAGTTCACTCGCCTCAGCCTCCCAAAGTGCTGGGATTACAGGCTGAGCCACCAAGCCTAGCCTAGAGGCCATATTAAAAAAAAAAAAAAAGTTGTCTTGTGGGAGGGGTTTGGGCTATACAGCTGTATGCACTTATCAAACTCAGTGCAATCTGTGAATTTCGTTGTATGAAAAGTTTAGCTTAAAAGAAAAATAAATATTGAACTCTAGTTAAAAATATATATGTCTAAATATTTAGGGGACAGTATGTCAATATCTGGAATTTATTTGTAAATGCATTCAAAGATTAGTTGGATTGATAATGAATAATAGGTAGATGTGACATAAAACAAACATAGTAAAATAATAGTAGGATCTAAGTGGTGGATATGTGGGCTTCCACTGTAAAATTTTTTAACTTTGCTGTATGTTAGAAACTTTTCATAATAAAATGATACAGAGTATATGACCAGGATTGTATTTATAAAAAAGAGGGAACAGGATGGATTTCTTTTCTTTTTTTTCTTTTTTTTTTTGACTGGGAGTCTTACTTTGTCACCCAGGCTGGAGTGCAGTGGCTTGCTCACAGCCACCACAGCCTTGACCTGCTGGGCTCAGATGATCCTTCCACCTCAAACTTCCAAGTAGCTGGAACCACAGGTGCACACCACCACACCTGACTAGTTTTTTTATTTACCCTAGAGACGAGGTCTTACCATGTGGCTCAGGCTGATCTCAAACCCCTGGGCTCAGGCAATCATCTCACCTCCGCCTCCCAAAGTGCTGGGATTACAGACATGAGCCACCACACCTGGCTAAGGATGGATTTCTCACAGCAGCTTCTGTATGTCACAGACATGATCAATATTTGTTTTCAGCCTTTTTGAACAAATCATACATTTAAATGAAATCAACAAGATGGAAATAGCTGTTTAGATATAAGGAGAAATAAAAGATGTTTATAGTAGCAGAACCTGATCTAGTTGGGACAAGAGTGGCGTCTAGAAGGATTCCTGAGGAAATTACACTTAAGCTGAGACAGGTAGAAATTATCTAATTGATATGGGTCTGTCCTAATTGCTATTGCTGGGTAGCACACCACTCTCAGAACTTAGTGGCATAAAAAATCATTTTATTATGCTTATGGATTTTGTGAGTCTTCAATCTGGACAGGGGCAGTTGGGGACAGTTTTCTCTGCTCTATGATTTCTGGTGGTTCAACTGGAAAGACTCAAAAGTGACTTGACAGCTGTGGGGTAGAATCTTCTGGAACTTTTTCCACAGAAGATAAAAAGGCTATGCAGTGAGATGTAAGTATTCCTCCTACCTGATACCTAGGTACTCAGTACCCCGCCCAGGATATGACCACTGTTTCCAGCTCCACAAGCAGCTTTTGATTCCTTCTATCAGCTGTATCCCAAGTCCCTCCCTGTCTGTGAGATGTGGCCCATTCCTTTCCAAGCCCTCTTGATCTTACATCAGGTTGACTTCATGTATCAGTGTGTTTTTTGGGGGGTTTTTTGTTTTTGTTTTGAGTTGGAGTCTCACTCTGTCGCCCAGACTGGAGTGCAGTGGCCGCTCTCGGCCACCGCAGCGTCGACCTGCTGGGCTCTGGCAATCCTTCCGCCTCAGCCTTCCAAGTAGCTGGAACTACAGGCGCGCGCTACCACGCCCGGCTCATTTTGATTTATTGTAGAGATGAGGTCTCGCCAAGTTGCCCAGGCGGGTCTCAAACCCACGGGCTCAGGCAATCCACTCACCTCAGCCTCCCAAAGGCGCGGGATTCCAGGCTGAGCCACTGAACCCGGCTGTATCAATGTTTAAATGTGCATATCGGGGGCAACCCCTTCAGGTCCCCTCCCACTTTGGGAGCTTTTCTGTCCTCAATAAATCCTGCTTTCTCAATAAATAAATAAGTAAATGTGCATATTGTACGTACATGTATAAAACCTCCCCAGGGCCTTTAGGCCTCAAGTTCTCATCACGCTGCTTCCTGGAGGTTAAGGGGCAGGGGTTCGGGGTGATGGAGAAGGGGACTAAAGAGGACTGGCTAGGGCGCTCAGCGTGGCCAAGCTCTGTGTGAAGCTCTGCCGGGATTTCTGTTCCCGCTCCTGCCCCGGCTCCTTTCCTGTCCTCTCGTGCCAACACCTCCCCTTTCCAAGGGCCCAAAGACAGAGATGCCAAGGCAACAGCATCCCTCTCCCACTTCTGCCTACCCACCGTCCTGTCATTTTTGCATGAATGAACGAAGGAATGGACCAAGGCTGTGCCCTCTGAGGTGAGGGCCTTGTTGAAGGCATGACCCATCAGAGTCCTCTTGGAAAGGGAGTTGTTACAGTGTTTTCTGGGTATGCTCAGACAGTGGCGGGAAGGATTGGGTTGGCTTTATGGGAAGCATGATCATGCTTTGACATTTTGTACTAAACCTTTTCCTAGGAAAAAAAAGCTGGAGTCTGGCCTGTATTAAGTAGCAAGAGAGGAGACAAAGAAAATGTCCAGTGGGTAGAGCAAGGCTTTGTCACTGAGAGCCTAAGGTTATGTCCGAGGCCGGGTATCAGGCAATGAAAAATGTCTCCTCGGGCAGAGTGCCCTCAGGATTCTGTTAGCCTAACAAGGTAGGACTAGAGGACTGGTACTTTGAAAAGCTGCTTGAGGAGTGGAGCAAAGCCCTGAGGCCATAGGAGAATTCAATTGAGAATGTCACAAGAGGCCGGGCTCGGTGGCTCAGCCTGTGATCCCGCGCTTTGGGAGGCCGAGGCGAGTGGATTGCCTGAACCCGCGGGTTCGAGACCCGCCTGGGCAACTTGGCGAGACCTCATCTCTACAATAAATCAAAAAATTAGCCGGGCGTGGCAGTGCGCGCCTGTAGTTCCAGCTACTCGGAAGGCGGAGGCGGAAGGATCGCCGGAGCCCAGCGGGTCGAGGCTGCGGTGGCCGGGAGCGGCCACTGCACTCCAGTCTGCGCGACAGAGTGAGACTCCAACTCAAAAAAAAAAAATGTCACAAGAATCGTCACTGAGAGTGGACTAAGGGATGGTCCACGGCGCAGTGTTAGAAGTGTTGAAAGCAAAGCATAAAGGGCCTGGGGGTGTGTCTCAGGAAGGGATGACAGCCAATGAAAAGCAGCCATGGGCGTGGCGCTGTCAAACTTCGTGGGGCGGGACCGAAGGCACAGAGCCAGGGCGGGGCCCAAGGCTAAGCCAATGAAAAGCCACCAGGTGGGCGGAGCATGGGCCTAAGGCCAAGAGTGGAACCAATGAGAAGCGGCGCCGCGTCCCCGCTGCCCCC